TGTTGTGTTTCTTAATGAAAACCTGGGCTATACAAAGGAAAGGGGAGGACGTTCCCCAGCCCCATCTCCTAACTGAGGGCTTATACCAAGTAATAGCTTTCTACTGCCCTGGGCAGCGTGACATTGCCTCATTTGGCCAGCTATTATTCTAGGAGGCAGCTAGTGAAGTACCCCGATCCATCTGCTTGCTTTTCATGGGCTGGTGCTTTCCTTGATGTTGACAGCTGTCTTAGTATTCCTGGGCCACCTGCCACATAGTAAATACTGTGCTCCAACATATATACAGAAGCTTATCCCTCTGGTGGACTGTTTAGAACAAAAAGCTTAACATTTCTAAACTACACTTGCATCTTTGTTGAAATGCTTCAGAGTCAGCACTTTGTCTTTTCTCATACTTTTGAGGAATACAGTGCTTATGCATTGGGAATGGTAGTTCAGTTACAGTGTGATGAACTTCAGCTTTTCTCAAACATCAAATAAGTATTGAATTGCAGACCTTTTGTGGAAGTCATGGTGGTCACAGGAGGCAGAGGGGAAAAAAGTTATCTCCTCTAGGGAGCCTTCCTGGAACCTTGTAGACTAAGTTGGGGTCCATCCTATTTATACCCATAGAAAGATTTTCCCTGTCCTACCTGCTTTGCTCCTCCGTTTACCCCATCAAACTTGCTCCTTGAGGGAAAGCACTGGTTTTTATTCATCACTGTATCTCTAAGAATGAGTGTGTATCTGACACATGGTTGGCACTCAAGGACAGATCAAGGTTTTAAGGTATGTGAAGATTTTTGCAATTTCTCTTTAAAGAGAAAGATTTAAAATTAAAAATAAAAATTAGATATAAAAGTGAATGAAGCCGCAACTACTGAAGCCCACGTGCCTAGAGCCCGTGCTCCGCAACAAGAGACGCCACCGCAATGAGAAGCCCGTGCACCGCAACAAAGAGTAGCCCATGCTCGCCGCAACTAGAGAAAGCCCGTGAGCAGCAACGAAGACCCAATGCAGCCAAAAATAAATAAGTAAAAATGTTTTAAAGTGAATGAAAAAATAAATCATACAAATTACCAATTTTAAAAGGTTGACTAATACTACAAATATCACGAAGTCTAGAAAAACAGTATTTTTTCCATTAACTGCCTGGTATACCTCTATAATATTTTTTTCTTATACTTTTGTTGGTATACTCTTTGATAGCATTTCATATGACAATGATTTTCTAGTGTCATTTTCTGTACATATAATGGAAAGAGAATTCAGTCTTTCCTCAAATTTGATTGAGTGTATTTATTATTGATAGAAGGGCCAGGTAAACATACACTATACACTCACATACACACTCATTGTTTGTGGTATTGCTACAGGCTTTTGCCCTACAAACAAAAATTCTGAAAAATTCTATTTTACGTGATTTTCATTAAAAAAAGCTTGCTGAATTTACAATTATAAAAATTATATACACTCCATTATTGAACATATTACTGTTATGAGAGAAATTACATCAATTAGAAGTGATTCTTTCTGTTTTGGTTTTGTCTTCTGATGCCTGAAATAATTTTCTACAACTCACCTTTTGCTGTTGTACATTTTGAATCTTGTTTCACCTCCACTACCCACACATATTTTCAGTGTTAGGGGAATTAGGATGTGTTTATGTAGTGATAATGTATCCTGGGTGTAATGCTTGGTGAGTTGCACAATGGACAAATTGGAATTTAAGCAGTAACAACTATTCTTTGGAGAAGCTGACAACCAAAAAAATATATCCTACTAAATGTATCCCCAGCGCAAATTTCCCAGCAGATCCCAAAGTGCCCCCAATAACTCCAATACCAACTGACTCTAGGCATAAGGTGATGGAGGGAAAATCCAAGTGGAAAGAGATTGTGGTCTTAATTGCAGTTTAAATGTTTGCTTTTGTAAATTTCATAAACACACACGACCAAGTGATCACATTCCTGAGTTCACACTGGAAGAGACCGTACCAGTGGGATGCCCTGAAGCTTCAGCTTCATCAGCTTCACAGTAAATGTGCTTCTACTGCAGATACGCATTAAATGTCTTCAGAAAAACTGAATGAACAAATGAAGGCAACTGTGCTAAATTAGCATCTCTAAGATCCTTACAACTCTAAAATTCAACTTTTTTACAGACTTCCTAACGTAATCTTAGAACTTAGTATTCAGAAATTTGTTATCATGAGTTTAGAATACAAGAATGGAGGACATCTAGGAACTGATAAGTACTTGAAAAGTAAATAAATTAAAATTCAGGAATCATTAATTTATGGTTTTAAGCTAATTTTTCATAGACGAAGTTTGCCTTAATGGAGGCAGGACAGCATGTATACTTACCTTACAATTCATTTAAATGCTTTGTTCTACCACAGGCTGGAGATTAGAATATCGTTAGACATTGTTTCCTTCGTGAAGTAGCTGCTTTTGAGGAAAAATATATATATATATATATATAAATATTTATAAAATATAAATATAAATATTTATATATATATATATCGTGGGTCTGTATTGGACCAACTGTTCATTTTAGGGGCCTCTAATAACATTTATATTATCTTATACCTTTGCAAGCTGTTTATTAATAGAAGGGATTCTAGCTGGATGAACATTAGCATTATTTCTACTACATATACTATCACCACCAATACTATAAAAAGTTTCTATATGAATGAAGGACTTTACCCATCATGATTCTATGCCTTCTCATTTACCAAGGATAGTGGTTATTGAAAGAATATGACTATCACAGCATTCTCCTTGACAACTATTTTTTAGAGAAATTCCTTTCTTTAAAAAAAAGCATTATTAGATAAAACCATAACTCAGTAATAAATCTTACTGTGCCCAGTAAGTTTTTATCCCCAGAAAGACTTCCTGAAAATCTACCCTCTGGGTAGGTATTAGGGTGTAGGGCTTGCTTTGGTCAGTACAGTACAGTACAAGTGGTGGACACATCTGGTAGTTATTTAACATTCCTTTGGGGAGATTAATTCTCTAGCTCTTCTAGCTGGAGGGAATGGTTTGCTTCATACTCTCTTTGCTTTCATATTCTCTGGGCTTTCTGGTAAGCTGGCCTTTAATGGAGATTCTTCCCTAAAATAATAAGGCTCGAATTGGGAATTTTACTTGTCTTATTCTAGTGTATTAATCTAGCTTTTCCCTTTTTTCTCAGACTCACAGAGAGGGAAGAAAGATTTGCAAAAGAGAAGGTGCTGACTAGCACTTTTGATCCCAGACGATTCCCATCTTGAGGGATCGTCTGGGATGAACCCAGCAGAAGGAAACTAGACTGATTTGACTTTGGTAGGTTAAATTGAGCCAGGACAAATTAGGGTGAGTGGCTTTGGGCTCTGCTGCAGTTAGTAGGGGCTGGAGTGCTTCTGCGAGGCAGCTGTGGTGTGGCAGGGAGGCTCAACAGCCATCAGCTGGTGTTGAAATGACCTGGGGTGTATAGCCATCCAATCGGCTCATCAGCAACCTTCTCCTCCTCCAGGACTCCAAAGCAAGAGGGTGGGTGACCCCAGGGTACCTTCCTGCCCCTCCCCCAAGTCAGAACTGCCTTGGACATTTCATTTTTATCTCATTTACTTGTATAACATTTTCAGTGAACAGGTATAGGATGTTCACTTTTCTGATTTCTACACCCTCACAGGGGCAGCTTAGCTTTAAAACAAAACACCTGCGGTGTATGGGCCCCTTGATATTTTCTCTACTAGCCACTAGGGTACAAAAAATAAAAAAAAAAAAATCGTGCTACTATATTAGTGAAATAAGTCAGACATAGAAAGACAAATACTACACTATATGGATTCACTTATATTGATGCATCTAAAAAAGTCAAATCCATAGAAGCAGAGGGTGGAAAGGAGGTTGCCGGGGGCTGGAGATGAGGAAACAGGGCTGTATTATTCCAAGGGTACAAAGTTGATGTTATGTAAGATGAGTAAGTCCTAGAGTTATACTTACAGCACAGTGCCTATAGTTCACAATACTGCATTGTATGCTTAAAACTTTGCTAAGAGGGCAGATCTTACGTCATAAGTGTTTATAATAATAATAAATAAGAGGGTGGGAGGGAACTTCTGGAGGTGATGGATGGTTTTATGGCATAGATTGCCATGATGGTTGCATGGTGTATATTTATTTTCAAACTCATCAAGTTGCATACATTAATTATTACAGCTTTTTGTATGTAACTTTTAAAAAAAACTAAGAAAATCCAAACCAGTGTATTTAGACATATTTAAAAGCAAATCTTAAGGACCTTTTTTGGTCTCCAGATTTCAGTGACGTCTGTGTAATAACTACAAAATATTTGTTCCAGCATTTACAAGTTTGAATTACACACTTGTTTTTGATCAGTGACGTTCTGCAAGAGGGTTCGCCGGGGAGTAGTGTGTAACACGGAGTGTGAGAAATACCAAAACACATCTGGGTTAGGGTAAGTTACTCCACACAGTAGTAAGCCAGCCGAACAAGAAACGAGTTGTTGACAGATCTAGACCAGGCACCTACGGAGCCCTCCACTTCTAAGACTCGGCCACGGGGTAACCTCATCTTCTGCAGCCCCGGGTAGCTGTTTTAGGAACAGCTGTTCGTTAGCTGAAAGGCAGCCCAGGCCATTCTGGTACCGCAGTTTACCAGGTGCGTTCACAAACTTTAGTTCATGAACTTCTTTCAAAAGTCTGAAAACTGTTCCGTCCATTGGCTGGAAGATAGAAAAACAAATCAGTAATAGGAAGGAAAATTTGAGCGAAAAGACAAACGGGCTGGAGCTCGTTTGGGCGGGAATCCCGGAGCCGGGCGTAGCGGGGTTCCGCGTCCCCACGGGTCTCAGGCCAGCGCCGGCAGCGAGGACCCGGCCGGTGGTGCCGGACGGCCGCGGGGCCCGGGCTCGGGGCGGTGCCGCGGCCTCTGGCTCCTCCCGGGGGCGGGCGGGCTGGGGGCAGGAGGAGGAGCCGCCGCACAGCGCAAGAAGTAGCCGCGCTGGGAGCGCATCGTGCCCGCGCTTCTCCTGCCGGAGATGGACTGAGCCGCACCGCCCGCCCGCGCCGAGTCAGTCCTGCCCTCGCCGGGTCCCGCGGCGCCGGTCTCAGGGCGCAGGACACCGTCTCACGCGTTCCCCGGGGACGGCCGCGGACCGGCTGCCGCGCCGGGGAGATGTCCGGCGGCCGGAGGAGGGGCGGCGCCCCCTGGCACAGCTTCTCCCGGTTCTTCGCTCCCCGAAGCCCTTCCCGGGACAAGGAAGAGGAAGAGGAGGAGAGGCCAGGGACAAGCCAGCCGCCCGCGCCGGGCCGGGGCGCAGCCAGGTGGGAGCTGCGGGGGGGACGTCGGGGGGCCCTGCGCCGACTCGCGGGACGGGGGGCTCCTGGCCCCGGTGTCCGCAGCCAGCCGCTCTCGGCCAGGCTGCGCTCGCCACTTTCTGTTCCTCCATTGCTCAACTTTCGTCCTTCTCGCCCAGTTCTCGTGCCGCATCGCTTGGTTTGTTAAATCCGGGTGAAGTTCCTGACCCGAGGCCGCGCCAGCCCGCGGGGCGCTCTGCCTCCCCACCTCCCCTCCCCGGATGTGATTCGGTTCCCGTCCCACAGTCGCGTCTGCTCTCCAAGTTCTGCGGCAAAAGCGAGTCCCGCGGCGTCCTGCCGACAGTAATGGGAAACAGTTGTGAGCCCAGCCATCAGCCAGGGCAAAGAGGGCGCGATCCGAAAACCACTTCTGTGGGAAAGGTGACGCTTTGGAGCGCCACCCCCTTGGCTGGGATTTTACCATTTTATTCATAGTTTCTCAAAATGATTTTTTTTAAAAAAAGAATGGTGATGCTGAGTTCCCAAGACTCCATCAAAATATAAAACCCTCACTAGGCTTATTTACCATTGCCTGACATTTAGATGATGCCGTCCTTCTTCCCCAAGTCTCTTCGGAAACATCTGCCTCAAGTTCCCAGGCAGATTCCAGAAACCAGGACTCGAGCTGTCTTGGTTTCAGTAATGAAAACTTGCCCCTTCTCTGCAGTCCTTTTTCCTTCTCCACCTGCTGCTGTAAAATCGAAATTAAAAAAAAAATTCATGTCTAATAAAACTACCAATTCCTGAGTCCTTTCATCTGAGTCCCGAGGGAGGAAGAGGGGTTAAGTGATATACAACTCGCTGTTTTAAACTTTTGATGGCAAGAGAGGCTTACTGCTCCGTCTTCCCCCAAATTGCACTAGAAGATACTCATGTGATTGGAAGGACGCTGTCCAGAAAGCTGTGTTTACTTCAGATGTTAAAGCCTTCGTGGAGGGCTTCAAAGAAAAATGGATAGGAAACAGAACTGTAACTGTGACTGAGCTGATTCCATCAATATTCATTCAGGTCTTGTGATTTGATTCTAGTCGTTTATGTGTTCCTCAGTTTCCCTATTTGTGAAACATTTCCATTTTGACCATCTGTTAATAAAATGCCACATCTTTCCAAGAAAGCTCCTATATAATATTTGGAAAACTTCTCCTGGGAAGCTTTAGCTATTATTGCCCTGTTAAGAGAAAATTTAAAATTCAGAGTTACACAGTAGTTAAAAATAGTTTTGAAGTCTGACAGGGCTCAACCAGAATGTCTGAATGCTGGTGTGGGCAGACAGCCTGTGGTGCCTGCCATCACTGTAACAGCACTAACAGTCTTGGATAATATGGAGGCAGCGTTTAAAAGAAATCCCAAGTAGACTCAGCAAAAGTTGGAAACTTGTGTCAGTGTTAGCAGGGAATAGGCAGGCCAATTTCAGGTTTATATCAGAATTGTCCTGAAACCCTGCCTGCTGCCCTGCCCTCTTTGGGCTTTTTAGGCACTTCTCAAATCTCTTTTCTCTCTGGAGCTAACCACTACAGCAACTTGTCTCTTGTCTTCTTACCACTCCTCCATTCTCATCTCCAGAGAGGCACACACTGTGGCTTTTTGACAATGAGAAATTTAATTGTGCTTATATGAACCCTAATTGTGTCCTTATCTTTTTTAGAACTTGCCAGATGTTAAGGGGATAGCAGATAATCCTTTGTGTGGGTGTTTTACCTTTTAAATGAGTTTAAATCTTTCTTTTCAAGGATATAAACAGACACAAAGCATTTATTGAAAGTTTAATGAAACTAACGGAAACAATGTCCTAGTAACACAGCACCTGGTGTTAACAAGATTGGAAACAGAATTGCGATTTGTCACTGTGATCTTATTTCAAAATGAAGGGGGTTTTGGCTGTTTATTTTTAGAGGCAGTAAAAGCTTTTGGTTTTATTGGGAGCCTAGTTTACCTTTTGTACTGGTGATTTTAGATGCAGGGGAGTCCGTTCGGACACACACGAGGGGCTTGGTGTGGGAGGGATGTAAAGATGACTGAGAAAAAGGTCCTTTCTCTCAAGGAACTGGGAGAAGGGAAGAAGACCACTTGAAAACAGTCATCCTACCATCTATGGTGTGTCTGGCCCATTACAACTGACAGAGTACTTTTAATAATATTACACTTTGAGGTTGGACAGACCTGTACGATCAGTATTTTCATTTTACTATAAGAAACAGTTAAAGAAACTTCCCCAAAGTCACAGCTGCTTTTCAGTTAATGAACAAGTATTAAGTCCTATGCAGTGCCTGCAACTCTGAGCCCCCTTAACATACATTAAGGATTAATCCCTGCATTCTGACTTTTCCATGTACTCAAAACAAAATGCATTCTCTCAAACTTGGGTTGTATAGTCTCTGTTTCTGCACTTCCAGTGTTGGCCTACGTGAATTTTGTGATGTAACTGTGTGTGTACAAACACAAATGGGACATAAATTCCTTAAGAACAGAATTCCTTAACAATTTCTTAAGAACAGAATTAAAAATTAAACACAAACGTAACCTCAAGACCAATAAAAGTAAAATTTACAGCATTATCCTAACAGCTGTTTTTTGGCTACTCACAAAATGCATATGGTACCAACTGGGACAAACACAAGTTTTTTGGGGGTTGCTAGGACTCTAGCACTGTGTACCATGCCATGATTCAGGTGGTCCAATATTTCCCTATTTGAACCATAGGAAAACTTTTGCTTTTATGGTGTGCTGTTAAGTTATCTGGGCATCATTTGCTGTGAACACATCATTTATATATTGTGTTCACTGCTGTTCTCATTAACCTTCAGCAGTTAAAGAAGGCCTGTTTGCATCAACACTGTTGTATATGGGAATTCAGGTGTTGGCAGTGGAATTACATTTCAGTACTTATGTCTTAGGTGGTTGACCAGATCCCGGAAGTGTTTATATTAATTTGTTTTAGGAGTTATAGAGATGAAAACTGCAACTGAATTCAATTCACTGCTATAACGTTTAGCCCAGTTTATGAGCATGCAGTGAATGGACTCATTAGAAGTGATAGGGGAGAGCAGGGAGGGCTTCATGGTGGAGGTGGTTTTACCTGGGCCTTCAAGGCACTAGTGTTTTCCACAGGTAGAGAATTTAGCCGCGAAGAGAGAAATAGGGAGTGGGTCTTCTGGGCTGAGCAAAAGCCTTCAGAGGTTATGATCTCTTGGGGGCTGTATACATTAGTGGGGCAGAGTGAAAGAGGCGTTAAGAAAGCTGGATTTAGCGCTGGGCCATAAAGAGCGTTTGGCTCTCAATTTAAAGCTTAGAGAATTTTTGTGAAGGTCTTTCAGACAGATACTGCTAAACTGAAATTTGGAGGATACCCGCCTTCTAATTGTCCCCACTTTGAACATATGATTGCTCAGTTTTGTTTCTTTGCTGTATCACACACGATGGACGTGTTTAAAATGAGCTCCGTACAGTGTTCGTAAACTCGGGAGGGGGATAGTAAGGCGAGAACAGCATTTATTCAAGGGCCCACTGTGCACTTCCTCCCGGGCTGGGTACTTTTACTTGCACTGTCTCATTTAAACGTCACCCTCAGCCTGGAAGGTTGGTATGCTTATCACTATTCTGACAGTTGAGCACACTGAAGATGATAGGGTTCTTAGGCGTGGACACTGTTGGCATCTTGGGTGGAACAATTCTTTGTTGAACTGGGCTCTCCTGTGCTTTGCAGGACATTTGGCATCTGTAGCCCCACCCGCTAATTGCCAGCTGCATCCTCCGGTCATTGGGAGAACTCGAAACACCTCCACCCGGGTGGGTGGCAGGGAGAGTGATAGCACTCCCAGTGGAAAACAATTTACTCCAAATCATGACAGGAGTAAGTTTCAGGGGTGAGATTTGAAATTGGGTCTCTCTGACTCAGAAGCTCTGATTCTTTTTCCACACCGTCCTGCCCGCCACCCTGCTGAACTGTGCTCCTTCAAAATACATCTGAGTATGTAAGTCAGTTGGACCTTTCCTTCCTTTATTCCGGAATGGGTAACGCTGTGGCCCATTTCACATACACTCTTTTTGGCTGTTCCTTTGAGCCTCCCCATATAGTGCTATTGATAGAAGGTAAGACAGGATCACTAGACCCAAGGCAGGGCTGTGTCTCATCTTGGTGTCCCCTTTACCTAGCTCAGGTGAGGGAGTGAATCTCTGTTGATCGAGCATTAAAGCACTTACTACTGGCTTTAAGCGAGGGTTAGTACACTCCTACCCTTAAAGTGGGCATTTTGAAACATGGGGGGACCATAAAGCTCTCTAGACAGAGTGTTTGGCTATTGATTTAAAGTTTACAGAATATTTGCTTTTCACCATGGCTGAGTGTGATTGATAAATGGGTAGAGCCAGGATGCTAATGGGTTGTAGTGCAGGAGATAGTCTCATAAAAAATGTCAATAATGCCCGTGATACCAGCATGAGAACTGTTGGCCTTCAAGTTAAATGTTGACCACAGCATCAGTTATGTAAGGAAAAGGAGCTTTGTTCTCCAAATTTTTATGATTGCATTTTCATTGATTTGAAAGCACTATAGAGAATAATTGATAACTAGTTTAGTGGAATAAGAGATACCTATGTGGTGTTGAAGGACCACATCTGTAGTTCATGCCTGCAGCAATAAAGATAACTGGGGGCTTCCCTGGTGGCGCAGTGGTTGAGAGTCCACCTGCCGATGCAGGGGACACGGGTTCGTGCCCCGGTCCGGGAGGATCCCACATGCCGTGGAGCGGCTGGGCCCCTGAGCCATGGGCGCTGAGCCTGCGTGTCCGGAGCCTGTGCTCCGCAACGGGAGAGGCCACAACAGTGAGAGGCCCGCGTACCGCAAAAAACAACAACAAAAAAAGTCAGCATGCCAAGTAAGCGGAAATCCTTATACAAAATGGCTTGGTGTTGATAGAGAAATAAGTTGAAGTTTTGTGACCAGAAATAACTAATTCTTAATGTTTATT